AGGGGCCCGACGCTCCTCGAACAGGGCCTTAAGAGCAAGAGGAACGAGGGGCCCGGATCCGACATGAACGGTTTGGGATCGGAATGCTCCGCGCGACACTCGCAGCGGGTGTTCACGTAGCAAACTGACCCCTGACCCGAGTACTCCCGCGACAGGGTGCGGCCCTGTAGGTCCCAGGGCCCGTCCTCTCGGGAGGGGGTGCAGGCGGACGAGTAAGGCCCCCTCGACAATGGACCCCAGTCATACGATAATAACGATCAATTATCGATCTGTCATTCAACTCGGCGGAATGCAGGACGAATCGGCCAGGAGTCGGGCCCTCATTTTACGGGACCCGTCCCCCTCCCTTATCCGAGGCATCTTATCAAATCATACATAAACTCAGAGTCCCCGAGATGACGAGCCCCCTTCGGTCCCAGCCAGGTCGCGGTCACCTCGTTTCCTCGACCGGGCCCCTTTCTTAAGCCCTTGCTCTCGACACGGGCCCCCCGTTTTTTGCACCTCCGTCGCCTCGAGTATTACGAGACCGCTGGATTCCATTTTCACGGTAGACTTTTCTTACCGTGTGCCGATGAAGAAGAGAAAAAGGGAGATAGAAATTCCTTGGGACCGACGGGCCCAGGAAGCCGGGGAAGTAGGGGCCCGGGCCCCGTCGACCATACGGCTCTGGCCGGGCGCGCCGGAGCTTTCTCACAGCAGTAAACCGGAGCGAGTAACTACCGGCGCCCGCAAAAAGCCTAAAATTAATAATAATAACAACGTTAGGAAGTAAAAGGCGCTGCTAACTGGAGCCTCCCGGGGGCACGGAGTCGTCCGATGCGAGAAGGCGCTCGGGCCCACGGAAAGGGGGCAGCGCCGCCAAGCGGACCACAACCGAACTGGGAAAGATGCCCCCCGTCGCGACGCCGCCGCCTAATCATTCTTTAAACGTGCATAAACAAGTCCCCTCCGCCGGCTCCGGGGATGGTATATGACTAATGTCATTCCTGAACCAACCGCTCCCGCCCCCGAGGGCTCTTCCCGGCTGACCAGGACCAACTAGATCCGAACCGGGGCCAGTTGGGCCCAGCCGGGACCAGCCGGCACCAACGGGGGAGATGCCGCCAGGCGCGGCAGCCTAAATCTAAAATGCAAATACATTCAACAAATCACTATCGGCGACGGGCATCCTTGGGCCTAAAAAGAGGAAGGGCCCGGTGGGACCCCCCGCCAGGACCTTCTGGAGCAGCGTTGCCCAGGAGAGGCTCTAGCCCCGTGTCCAGGAGGATGCCGGGTTCCTCTTCCGAGGGAACCAAAGGACCCCTAACACGTGGGTTAGGAAGATCAGCGTTATCATCGTCATGTAACACCTCCAGTCTTCTGTCTAAGAGCAATCCTCTTCACTTAGGAAAGTGGGTCCGATGATCCTGGTCAATGGTCCTAGTCTCGTCCTCGCGCCGATTGGATTCCCAGGCAAGGACGGGATCCTCGGCTCCTCCGAAGAACCGTTTTCGCGGGGGCAAAGGAAACCGGTGGTCCAGTTAACGGAGTCGCTCAATGGCGAGGGATCTCACGGTGGTCTCTGGAGAACTTTCCGCGATTCATGGTAAGCCGTTCCAGGCTGCGGTTCGTGACCGTTCCGAGTCGACTGGCTACCGAGTTCTAGCTGGCCGATTCCAGTTTTTTTCCTATCTTAGACCACGATGGTCGGCGACGAGGTCCGGACCCATCACTGGGAACGGATTGTCTCCTGGCGGTAGTCCCCACCACGTCATTTCGGATACATCATTTTTAAGGCCCTTCTATCGGGCTCCGAATTGCGGTGAGGCCTTGAGTAATGGCGGTGCGTTTGCCTCCTGGTGGTGTGGCCTTCCGACCCATCCTGTACGACTTCTGGCCTGAGTAGCTAGAGGAATAGCTAGCCATCGGTTTACCCGGGACCCACCTTCGTCATCCTCGAGGCCTCGCGTTATTCATGTCCACGGACACCGGCGAACGAAACGAGTCGGTAGTGCTGAAAGTATCACATCCATTTTGCAGATCGTCGTCGAGAGGATCCAACTGTTGGACGATAACAGCTAATCTGGGCTCTGTTTCAAATTTCTATGCTCAGCCCAAGATGGCGGCGGTTCAACATTCGATACTCGAGTTCATGCGATCGACTTTCGCATGTGAAATCAACAGTTTCATATAAGACTGTCAAATGTCGACCAATGACGGGATTTCCCAAAAATGCGAAATTTCTCACGGGAATCTATTCGTAGGCGAAAAATCCCTATGAACTCGAAAATAGGGAACCCAGAACCTCTACCTGATCAGGTGGAACGCTAAGGGCGCCATTTTGCCTCGAGTCTATAAGGAGCTGAAGGATTGCTTCGATCAACATCTATCGACGATAATGTCCTCAATTGATCGGAAAATATCAATCTATAAAAAGTCTGAAACATTCCGGGGTACTCTTCGGGTGGTTTACGAATAAAGGGCCCGATCGTTTGGAAGGTCCGATCGAAGTCACGGCCATCGGGCCCGACCTCTCGGGGCAGTTGGTCCCCTTCGGAGCGAGGGGCCCGCTCTTCGATTATAAATCGAGGGGACCGTCGTGCATCACTCTTGAAAAGGATTGTCCGATCAGATGCGAGGGCGATGCCCAATCCGCGGGGAGGCGCGAGGTCCCTCTGGTTTCTGGGCCCCTCCAATAAGCGTTTTTCATATCAGGTGGCCCCCCCTCCCCTAAGAAAGAAAAGACACTTGCAATAAATACAGCGACAATGAATTCTTCATTGTTCATGTTTCATTTACAATTTTTCATTGAAGAAAGGGGGGCCTGATCAAGGGTTCAAAGAATCCGGGGGCGTGCAGGAAAAACCGGGGGCCCAAATTAAGGGGACTGGGATCCGATCACGGCTTCTCATGATATAAAAACTGAAAAAATAAGGAGGGGCCTTATTTAAGAGCTTGACGATTTCGGGGGTGCGTACCCCCTGTGTCCGAAAAAACGGGGGCCCAGGTCAGAGGGATTCGAGCCCAGAGTCCACCGGGGGTCCGCGATCGAATTACCCCGGAGATTGTTTAGCGTAATTGGACAAATCAATCTCCCCCCCAGGCGGGGGCCCCCCGTATCCCCGGCACCTTCTCCTTTTGGCCGGTCTTCGCGAGGCCGTAGATCTTTCTTGGTGCGCTAAAAAGCACCTCGGGGAAAAATAAACGCGGTGAAATAAAACGCGGGGCGACCGGCGGGGGGAGGGGGGGTGGAGGGAACGAGGTAAAGAGATAGGGGGGCCGCGCACGCGCGCCAGGTGAAGATGCGTCAGAATGGAGGTTAGTAGCGATCTAATTATCTACGCGGCGGGAAGTCGCGGCCTCCCCCTGCGCCATATCGGAAACAAGAGCACCCGGAACATTGCCCGGGATATCTCGAGTTCTCGGGCCCCCTTTGCCGCATCGGGCCCCGCCGAAGCGAGCATCTCCCGCGGCGGCGACGCCGCCATATTTCACAGTCGTCAAAACGATCGGAGACCCCTCGTTCCGGGAGCGATCTCGTATCGATGGCGACGCTTCTCTGAGATAAGGCCCAAAAGACGCCATTTCCTCTACCCTCCCTAAATACTAACTAAAATGGGAGAAATTCTGGAGCGTCTAATTATTTTAATTGTCCGAAATAATGGTAGATAGCGGAGGGGATAGGTCCCAGGAGACGCCATTTTTTCCATGCCTGGCTGATAAAAAATTATTTGAATTATTTGCAAAGAATTTTTCGAGGTACGACAGTCTAAATCGGGGTCGCGGGAAACTTCCGCTCGGCGATCCTAGAAAGTGGAGGGGGAAGGTCCCAGCCGGTGCGAACCGGTCCCAATGGCGGGGCCCGACGAGTGGGCCCAATCGAGCACGCGCCCAAAGCGAGGAACGAAAGGAACGCGGTGGAACCGCGATCGCGAGCCGAGGAACCGTCCGAGTGACGGCGAGCTCGCGCAGGTCGACCCCTGACCCCTCTCTTTCCGACTCGGTGGTCACTCCGCTTCTCTCTCGGGCCCTCTCCCTCCCTCGGCGAGATTGGGCCCGGTCGCACCCGCTTTCCGAGCCGGGGCCCGGCCGGCGTGGGCGAGTCGCGGGAGGGGTGCGAGTTGGCCCGCGGGCCTCTCCGGGACCGTGAGAACACCAACTATAATATTATTTAGTCTGCCGGTGCTCGGCTCGGCCTCCCCTCTCCCTGCGGGCCCCCTCTCGTTCGCTGCCCCCCTCCGGCCTGGCCGGGGTCCGAGAGAGCTAACTATAGGCGCTATACACGGTTTACTCTCGCGCATTAATTGCCGTCGTAAATTGTTGCGGCTTTGCAGTCAAGTCGAGGCGAAACGGTACGGCACGGTACGCCGCTGTACGGAAAGGACGGCTATCGTGGCTGGATGCTCGTACCCTCTTCCTTTTTTCCGATCCTAGCCTCTAAGTGCTGCGCGCTTCCCGCGGGGCCCAAGGCCCCCCTCCCCACGGATGAAGCCCCGCTCCGCGGGTCCCAAAAGGCGCGCGGGGGGAGTTTCCCGCGAGGGGGCCTCCGGGCCCCGGGGACGCGGGGCCTTCTCCGCATTCTAACCTAAGAAGTACGGTAAGGACGGTAAGCGCATTCGCGCGATCGATCCTCCCCCGCGCGGGCCGCACGCGTGTGTGTTGCCAAGCCGTGGAGCGGGCCCGGCGCGGCGTCGAGGGGAGGGGGCACGGCCGGGCCCGGACGGGGCCCAGCTGTCGGTCGTAGGGGGCCCGATGCTGGCCCTCGTGCGGATACCTGCCGCCAGGTGGCTCCACCAGCAGTGCCCGGCAGCGCGATGCTCGAGCAGTCGTCGAGGCGCCTTCGCACCGCGAGCACCGCGCGTTTGTTTGCATTCCTCGGGCCCGGCCGGGGCCCGATCCGATGCTCCCCGTCGACGAGGCCCAGAGTGTGCCCCCGTGATACGCCGCGCCGGGTGCGCTCCCCATGCGAGCGGGGGGGTGTCCCCCAGGGAAGAGGACCGACCACGGAGGAGACCGGCAGGATGCAGCAGGAGCAGGAGGAGCATCTCCATGCCCAGCCTCAGGCCCAAAATCAAGCCCAGACTCAGGAGCAACGCTCCAGGGAGGTGGCGGGCCTGTCCCCGACGATGGTGGACTCCTCGACCGAGGCCGACGGACCCGCGGACCCTTCGACCGGCCTGCCGAATCTGACCCTCCAGAGCGTGGCTTTGGGCCTGCAAGGGGCCCTATTGGCGGCTCTCCAGAGGGCTGCCCTCCTGCCCCCTGGCCACGCCGCCGCCGCGGCCCTCAACCTTCAGGCCCTGGAGACTTATCTCACTCTCCACCGGCTGCACGCCAGCAGTGCCGGGACCTCATCCTCGGGCCCCAGGCTCGCCTCTGTCACCTTCGCCTCCACCTCGCCCGCGACGGCCCCGAAGGTCGACCACCTCCCCGCCGAGGTCTTCCCGTCTCCCTTGGACGACGACGATGGGTCCCATCTTGACTTTGGCGTGGCCAACCCCGAGGAGGACCTGGCCCTCCTCGAGGAGGAGGAGGCCCTCCTCAGGGACGCCTCTGCTTCCGCTACCTCGACCTCGGCCAACCTGGCTGACCAGGACGCTCTTCTGCAGCGGATAGCGGAGAGCGCGCCGCAGGCCCCGTCGGGCCCCGTCGCGGCGGCCGGTCAGGCCCAAACCGCCCTGACCAACAACCTGCGGCCCGCCGGTCCCGTCGCCGAATCCGCCAGGTCCTGCAGGGCTTCTAGGCCTAAGAAACAGTTCATTTGTAAATTTTGCAACCGACAGTTCACCAAGAGCTACAACCTCCTCATCCACGAGAGGACCCACACCGACGAGAGGCCCTACTCCTGCGACATCTGCGGGAAGGCCTTCAGGAGGCAGGACCATCTCAGAGATCACAGGTAATGATCTTCTTCTGGATCATCCTGTCTCCCAAATTCGCCTGCTCCAAATTTCCATCGCCTTCGGAACGTAAATAAAAACTCTTCAGTGAATCCATTCGTTGCGACTTTTGGGCCCGTTCGGGCGTTCCAGACTTATCCATCGTGACTGGAGACGATCATCGTTGCCACCCGAATTTCTCTTAAAAGACGTTTAAAAATATTAACATTGCTTTAATATCATGCTCCTGGCTAAACTACCTGTCTCAAAATTCGGCAACGATTTTCCTCGCTTTCTGGAAAAATAATTCCATAGTTCATTGCTTTAATAAATTTAGTTTTCGAATGGCAGCGGGTTTATTTTATCGGAATCCACCTCATTTTATATCCTCGCCATCGTATCCGCATTTTTGCTTTTGGGATCGGCGTCAAATTTATTGTGGTTTATCATTTCTTGAAGACTCATGTGCGAATTATCCCGCAGGTACATCCACAGCAAGGAGAAACCGTTCAAATGTGCCGAGTGCGGCAAAGGGTTCTGCCAGAGTCGGACCCTGGCGGTGCACAAGATCCTCCACATGGAGGAATCCCCCCACAAGTGTCCTGTCTGCGCGAGGAGCTTCAACCAGAGGAGCAACCTGAAGACCCACCTGTTGACCCACACGGACATCAAGCCGTACCACTGCGCCTCCTGTGGGAAGGTGTTCCGCAGGAACTGCGACCTGAGGAGGCACTCGCTCACCCACAACCTGGGGATGGCATCCTCACCGCCGTCGCCAGGGATCCCCGTACCTGGAACGAGCACCGCCGTTCTCCAGGAGACCTCCTAGGGATGAACCCATGGGGCCCATAGGGCCCACCACCACCATAAAGAAAAGGGGGACCAACACTCACGCGTAATCATCCTCGTTAAGTTAGACTCGTGCTCATTAGATATCTGTAATTATGTCGATAATCGCAAAAGGGCCCGATTAAGTCGCCGATTAAGCGGCTGTGTATGCGCCAGTGGGCCTGGCGCACGTGTAAAATAAATTTTTATTATTATTTTTTAATCAGCTCACCGCATTGTCTTCTTATTTCCCGCGTGCTGGCTCGTCCGACCGTAATACGAGGTCGACGGCGAGACCGGAAGACGAGGCGGGCCCGGCTCCCCGGGCCGGGGCCTTAAGGCCCGGCCGGCCGGCTAATTAATTAGGCACTTTCCTATTCGTCCCCGAGCACGCTGGCGAGGAGCAAAAAGGCCTCGGGATCCTCTTACAAAAGACAGAGCCGCCAGGTGCGCAAGACATGACACCGCGATACGTCTAGGGTTACACTCCCCCCTCCTCCTCCTCTTCGGGGCCCAAAATTTCGGGCCCGCTCGAGCGAACTCCGCGACCCAGGGCCCGGAATCTCGGGAGCCTTCTCTCAGTTCCTCCACGTGAACCCTCTGCCTGAGCAGTGCCAAGTCACGACCCTGGAGAAAGCGGGGCCCGATTTCTTGGCGAGAACATCGGGCCCAATCGAGGGAAGGCAAAACGCATCGAGATCCCCAATACGACCCCAACCTTATGTTCGATATCAATCGGGAGTTGTATTATATTACGGGTATGGTACTTATGAATGTCTCGTAGGGCCCAGTCCGGCGAACCCAGGAAAACATAGGGCCCCAGGTTCCCTTAACTAAATCGAGAGTCGGGAATCGAGTGGCTGACGATAGCGGGCATAAAGATGTAAATCGTCCGGTGGTCCGCGCTCGGATTCAAGGCTTTCACCAGCAGTGGGACCACCGGGGATCCACGGGGCCCGTGATACGGCGACGGACCCCGCGCGGAGGAGGGGGCGAGAGGGTCCATCTCGCCGTCAGGAAAACCCCGTGGGTGTTCGCTTGCGGAGATGTCCCGACAGCGAGGTGTGGACACGCTCGCGTTAAAACGGACATTCTTGGGCCCGGGCGACGCACACGCCGATGGGCCCGTACACGCGAACGGGCCCACTCGGGCCGGTGGTAAAAGGTGGTCGGTAAAGTCGCGCGGGAATAAGGTTGCGGACGACGGGGAGGTCCGCGGCAGAGGAGGTGGAGGTCGCGTTATGGAGACGCTGGGCCCAACGGGCCTGGAGGGGATTGGGCCCACTGCTCCGGAGGAGGGGGAAGGGACGACGGGGACATAGAAGACCACACGCACGCGCCGCCCACAGATACGCTATCACTGGATACAACCGACGTGATCTGCATGCGCATGTCCTCTTTCATCACTAAAAAAAGGCCTTAGGACCTTTTCCCCCCCTCGGATAACTCTCTCTGATTTAAGGGGATCGCTCGCGCCGATATTGCCGACCCGATAGCCACGACCGTCCCCCGATAATTTTGCCCGCTGATACGACACCTCGCACCTTACGCCTTTTAATCGGACGCGCTCTTTAACCACTCTTGACTTAATTTGTTTCGGCACTCGGCGACTCTTATCGGGATCTCGACCCTGGCCGTATTCGGGGTTAACAACTACGCCCTCCACCGCAATAATTTTCTACGTTCTAATTTTCTACGGTTAATGCTCCATTATTAGATTATGGCAAATGGCTCCGAGGAGAAGTGCACGTTTCGCCGTTCGATTCTTGTCCGGGACCTTACTTCCGTACCATTCGTCTTCCAAGTTACCGACTTGCCCGGGCTAATGGAACCGTAACGAGTCTGATGGGAACATAACCTAGCGCTCCACTAGAAAAGAGCGAATTACTAGAAGTTCATAAACGACCAAGCATTTACAGCCCGAAGTAAATGATTTTCCGGTGAATTCTACCGCAAGCTCCGAAGTGGATATGTATATGAGCCACGTATGCGCACTCGACGCCATTATTAGTCCGACTTAATTTATCGTTATTGCCAAACGATAAACATTCCCCACTAGTGTGGGGAGAAAGCTTCGGCCGTCTATACACGGATTTTATCCACGACTTTCTGTCGGGTTAAAGACGCCCGCCGCTTGGCGGCGCTCATTCATGCCAACTGCGTTCGCAAACCCATCGAATAACGTCTTCATACCTTCAAATGAAGCCGCTCGAAGTAATACAGAATTATACCGACTTAAACGTACTCTACATTCGCGTGGAATATCCATACAAAAGAATGTACGGAATACAATCCTTAAAAATTATGGACCTAACAACTATCCAGCGTGTTTTCTCCATTCAAACCATAATACATTGGAGCGGCTAATAATTCTCAAATTTAACTTGGACTATAAAACTATTTCACAGTTAGTTAAGTATACTCCTCGCTATTATCAACCCCTCTGAAGGTACTTTCTCATTGACGCGTCAAAATTAAATGCTGCGATACGATTGGACACCATTTTTTCAGTGGCCGTCGCCTATCTTCAACGTTTTGCTGCATGCAATTTTGCGGGCAAAATTACATCGAGGGTGCGCCTAGCGATAAACATTCCATGGTGAGAGGGGTCGATCCTCTATAGCGTCGCTTTATCGAAGACTTCGAGGTGGAGGCGCAGTTCACGCCGCGTTACGGCGGGCCGCCGCTTGGCGCGCTGGCGTCGCGGGACTGCGTTCGCAAACCCATCGAATAACGTCTCCATACGGTTAAACGAAGCTGTGCTTGCCGATATACGATCGTCGATGTGCACGCGGAAGGGGCCCACCCGCAATATCCGCGAGCGTGGTACCGCTTAACGACTGCCATCGGAATTTACGAGCGATCGAAACTTTTCGTGGCTCGTTTAAGCTCCCACCGCTGATAACGCGAGGCTGCTTACGGGTTTACGACTAAATTAGACATTCATTGATCGTAGACGAGGCTTCTTTATGTAATTCCAGGCGCGTCCTGGCGAGCAGCTCCGCATTTTTCGACTGCCGAGACTTCTGCACCAAGATGTCGCGACTCGAGGTCGGGACGAAATAGTTTCGAGGTTAGAACGAAGTCGCGCTCGATTTCCAGTTGAGGTAGCTTGGAACGAAACTCTTGGTCGCTGGAGATACGATCCTAAGATGGAAAAGAACCGTTAGATAATGACAAACCCATCAGAATGTCTAACCTATAAAAGATGCCCGGGGTATCTCTTCTTCTCGAAGCGCCGCCGTCCGCCATTGCTGGCGAGGAGAGAAGAAAGTCGGCAGACTTCCCCGAACAAAGAGCCCGGCGACTCCGCAGCGAGGAGCTGAAAGACAAAGCGTCACTCGGAGGTCTCCACAATACACTTACCGTCGCCATGTCCAGGCTCAAAGCCGCCGAAATCGATCCCGCCTATTCTCGATTCCCCGAGCGGTGCGCGCGATTTGACACGGAGGTTGCCTCTCGGAGGAGGAAGAGCGTCTCGACCGCAGCTCGTAAGGTATCAAGGGGACCGTTTATGGCCGGGCACGATCCCCTCGTCCCCGGGACTTCGGCGATGTTCGCGGGCACGTCCCTGTCTGCGGCTCCTCTGCGGACACGGGGAGAGAAAGGAAGAGAGAGAGAACGGAGGGAAAAAGGCGAGCGAGTCTCGGAGGAGAGGAAAGCCCTATAAATAAAACGTCCAGGTCTCTCGCGGAGGAGCCCACCGATATTTTAGCGGGTCGCCGCCGTGCCTCGAGGAAGACGGCCCTAGCCAGATCGGCCGCGTTGAGGTTAGGTCGCAGCGCCGCGCGGCGGAGCGGAGGTTAACTTAGGACTCGCGTGGGCGCGAGTGTGAGTCCGTGTCGCGCGAGTCACCACTCGGGCTGCCCGGGGCGTCCCGCCGTCCGTCATTCTGTCCGCCCGTTCGTATTTCGTGGGCACGCTCTCCCGCTCCGTGCCGGACCCCCGAGAGCCCCGCGAGGACTTTCGGTCGACTCCTCGGTCGCGCGCCGCGAGAGCAAGAGGACGAGCGGCCATTTTTATGAAGTATCCTCAAACACGGCGGATCAAGAGAGGGTAATACGAATAAATTTGATAAATTCTACCTAGTTTCTCTAAATCCTAGGTCTTGATTGCACAAGAGAAGCAGCTGAGCTGAAATGTTCTCGAAGACGCCATTTTCTTTGGTACATCAAGTGACGCGGTAGCATCTCAGACAAGTTCGTCATTTCTTTTTCTTTAAGGAGAAGGTGCTTTTGTAGATTATATATGTACCGTAAGGGAAATAAAGTTTGGAAGTCGTTGGTCGTTTTCTATACCGTCCCCTCCATTTTGTACTTGAGGCCCTGGGTGCCCTCAGTCCTCGGCGTCACCGGCGCTCACGGGGGGCGCAATTAAACCCGAGCCAAGGTGCGCGAGGAATTCCCGCGAGTGAACTTGGCCGACTTGTTTCGTCGACTCGCTCTTTGCTCGTTCTTCTCTTTTCCCGGGGCAGGGAACAGGGAGCATTGCGAAAGTAAGAAAGGAGCCCGAAGGCTGGCGCCACTTAGAGGCCTCTCGGTGATTTTCTTCTAATCGTAACCGCGGTTTCATGACCTCGGGTCTCAATGACGGTAAAGCGTGCCTCGGGGGGCGAGGGGTCAGGGAACAACTATATTAATGCGAGGGAATGCCGGGCAACGCGCGAACTTCCCTCCTTCGACCCATCTTCGGGGCCCGAGGGGGGCAGGGTGCTGTGCCATTTTATTTTCTCCCATTCACGGCCGCTGCTATTCTCGTACCGGTCGCTGCGAGATGTTACCGACCTAACCTCCGTACCGGCGAAAAGAATAGTTGCGGTTGCCATAAGTCACCCGTAAACGGCCACTAACCATATGGGGGAAAGGTGACTCTTATCACGGCGGGACCAGTCCGGCGACACCGGGCCCAGACTCGGGGCCCGATCGGTTTGCTTCCGCTTGTTCCTAGACTGACCAAGGATGTCCCCTTCCGCTTCGAACAATTTTTTCAACGGCTCGAACC